AAAAGTCCCAAAGGGCCCTTGCAAAGTCTTCACAAACAGTATGTTCTCCCCTGTCACTGCCAGACAATTCACAAGTGTGAATTGGCCCTAATGAATATACAGGTAAGTCTAGTTTCCAGCCGCACTGCATGTAGCCTCGTGTGCCCTGAAAAATCTGATCCAACAATACAACAAACAAGATATATCTGTGCTCAAATCCCAACAGCTAGTGCATGCATTTATCCATCATGTGCTAAAGGGGTGTAACCACCTATTAACACTAGAAATTCTGAAGGACCCTCTGCACACTGGTATATACCCTTTTAAGCAGACTATGCAATAAATAGGGATATTTAGTTCACACCATATTGCAATACATGCTTAAGCTGGCCAACTGCGTCAAAGTAATCCCTCTATGGCCAGTCCTACTCTGCTCTGCCTACACAAATGCTACTGTGGGCACAATGGTAACATAGGGGAAAAGACAAAGTGGGCAAGAGCTACCAGGTTCAGGTCTGGCTACTGACCCAACAAATGCATGCACTAGCTGTTGGGATTTGAGCACAGGTATATCTTGTTTGTTGTATTATTGGGTCAGTAGCCAGATCTGAACCTGATAGCTCTCCCCCACTTTGTCTTTTCCCCTATGCTAGCATTGTGTCCACAGTAGCATTTGCGTAGACAGAGCAGAGTAGGACTGGCCATAGAGGGATTACTTTGATGCAGTTGGCCAGTTTAAGCATGTATTGCAATATGTGTGAACTAAATATCCCTATTTATTGAAAAGTCTGTTGAAAGGGTATATACCAGTGTGCAGAGGGCCCTTCAGAATTTCCTGAAAAATCTGTTCCCAGGAGATGGGTGATTTATTCAGTTCAATACAGTTCAGGTGTCTCTCCTGCAAACAGCTTGCTTACAGTAAATATGGAAGAAACACCAAGCCAGGACATGATGCTGGGTACAGAATTTATCTTAATGAATGTAACCCATCACATTCATCCATTCTAATCTTATATGCTTTAAATATTAGTATGCATAAATGATAAAAGTGCAGTTATACATTAAACAAACATTCTAAAATAATGTTATATAGTATCTTATTGCCCTTCTAACAGGGATGAAAAATGTATTATAATTGATACCTTTATTGATAAGATTTATTATCTGTTTTAAATAAAAATGCAATAGCACACTAAAATATAATCACACCTTTTCCTAAAAAGGATGGGAACACTGACTGTAAAGCATCCTTCGAAGACCTTACCTATGTAATACAGAGTTTTATAATAATAATATGCAACAGATATACCTTTTACATTATTGTTACCACATGGTTATCTCTTTCACTTTTCCATTTAGTACAAGTGTTTATCTAGGGCAACACTTTAGACTTAATCCAACCTCAGCTCTGTGTTGATCTTTAATTAACACTGTACTTTCCTGCTTATTGGTGAAACTCACTGTAGAAAGAAAACCTTCATGGCCCATTTATTGTCATGATTGCAATCTGATGTCTGCAAGTTTATAGGACATGCTACATATGGTTACATGCTCCAGATCCTGCAAGTTTAGATGCACTGAGTTCCTCTCAATAACATAATTTATACCTACCTTTCTCAGCCAGTGGTGAATATGGCTCTAGGAGTACTTCTGGGCAGCTTGGGAGGTACCTCTGCTTCTTCAACTGAACATTTTAGCAAATTACAAAAATCTAAAATATTAGTGATTCAGGAAGGTGTTTGTTTTTTAAATTCAATCTGTATATCTGTAGGGAAGAATAGCTTTATACCCTTTGAAACATATTTTTTTTTAAATAATGTATATTAGAATGTGTCTAATATATTGAAAAAATATGTTGTATGCCATGCATTCTATAGATTTAGAAGTTATAAAGAAATGCTATACTATCAATTATGTGGGCAAAAATAAACCAGCACCAATGAGAGCTTCTCTCTAGAAAATAGTGCACAGTTGGTAGTTTTCTAAAGTATCTTCATTTGGGAAGTTGACCTGGTTGTCATTTAGCACAAGGGTCCCCTATGGCGAGTCTAGTTATCAGATTTAGTGTAAGCATGTCAAAAAATGGAAGTTTGCCAGTTGGCATCTATCTATGCCTTTAATTTTTTTGGCAGACAAGATAGCCTGAAATTTCCAAGGTATAAGATAATATATTCTACAGGATTATGTATAGTGTACAGGGAAGAGCTCAAATAAGTGGGATTTAAAGTGGAGATTTATTTTAAACTGTGTACTTTGTAAACTGGGACAATCTCAAAGTATGCTTCTTCTTTAATTGGAATACTGTAATCAAATGCTTATGCAAGGCTACAAGTATGTTCTCCAAAGTTGCAATTGCTTTCCATTTGTCTACTTCTGTAGTGAATGTATCAAATGCAGGTAAGTAACCCTCCACAATAACCAGAGCCTGTGCATACTGTAATATTCAGGAACAAGACCTGCAATCCTGATGATTCCTATAAGAATGCCAAGGAACCCCAATGTATTAGCTACTTAAAGTGGAACTTTAGTTAGAAAATTAAGTCCTGCTAGATCCCTTCAGGCACTTTTGCAGGTATAATGAAAAACATTAAAGATAAGTGCATTTACTGTTTACAATCCAGTAATACACTGTCTCACCCTTCTCTGCACATACTCAGTTGCTTTCTATGTTTAGGCTTTGTGCAGACTTTGTAGAGGCTGATCTGCTGACAGCCTAAATATTTACTGCTCTACAGGGGCTCTGGGCCTCAACAAAATGGCAACTTCCAGAAAGAAGAAACAGGAGCAATGCTAGGGGCAATTTACAGCACACATTAATTTTGGTAGCATAAGTAACCACTTGACAACCAGGCTATAGCCAAATGATGGCTACAGCATGGTTGTCCAGTTGACATCCTCCCAGAACACGCCCTTCCTCGGGCCCCCAACGGCGTGCACCCGGCAATCTCCTATGGACACAGCTGATCATGTGATGTGGTAAAAGGCCAATTCAGCGGCCTTTTACCACGTGATCAGCTGTGTACAATGACACAGCAGATCACCGGGTAAATGCAGTTGCCGGTTGACAGTTGCACTTTCCTCATGCTGTCACAGTGTGAGGAAAGTACTGCCGATAACCGGCAATTGTCAGAAAACAGATTGACACTGATGATCAGTGCCCAGCAGTGCCACCCACCTGTGCCCAGCAGTGCCACCTACAAGTGCCAATCAGTGCCACCCAACAGTGCTCAACAGTGCCATCCATCTGTGCCCATCGGTTCCTAGCAGTGCTACCCAGCTGTGCCCAGCAGTGCCACCCACCAGTGCCCAACAGTGTCCCCCATCAGTGCCACCCATCAATGCTGCTCAGCAGTGCCACTTATCAGTGCTCAGCAGTGCCACCAGTCAGTGCTGCCAGATATACTAGCAGAATTAAATACACTAACAAATTGAATCCAAACTTCAGCTAATACATTATAAGCAGTTACAGAAAACTGTTTTTTCCTATTGGAATAAAGGTTTTACATAAATAAAAGCTGATCATTGTAAGCACCTCTGCTAATGTTAAATGGTTTGTCACATCTCTGCAACTGATGCATTCTGCTGGAGAGCCTGATCTTTTGAAAAACAACAGACTTACTGGCTGGATCATCAGAGGAAAATGAAGAAAAAAAACAAAAAGAAAACTAATGCAGCCATCAAATCTAAGAATTGGAAAGCTGAAATATACAAAATGTTTGCATTTGGGTTTAATACCTCTTTAATGCTAACTAAACTGAAATAGCATCACTGATAATGGGGAGCTCCCATGGGGCAAAATATTAATAAAAGAAAAATAATTAACATAAATTACTTTCTACATCTTACATATATCTTATTTTCCAAGCAACATTCTGTAAGCTGACATAGTTACCCTACATACTGACCACATAATGTAGAGTTACACCTACTTACGGAGCTCACAACTGAAAAACAAAGACTTGTTTTTTTTGCTTGCTTTCTATAGTAATGTGCTTCTGTTTTAGGCCAGTGTCTATAATTAGATAATAGCCTCAAGCTGTCACTGCTAAAATTAGCCCCATAAAAAAATACATACTCAGGACATTCCTTCCTGGGTCTTCAATTAGGCTGTAGTTAGATTAAAACCTTCTATTTTTGGTAATGATGCAATAGTAGTATAAACTAAATCAAACTCTTGGATGAAATCTGGTTTACTTCAAGAAGTTACTTAAGTGTCACATTCCTAAAAAGAAAACACATTAGGACACATTGAAAAACTGAAAAAGTTGTGATCTTTTATAAAGGTTATTGTACTCAAACTGGGATAATTTCCACATAAAATATGATTTATGTATGCAATGTATGCAATGTTAGTAAAAAAAAAAAAACACATTCAGGATTATTCATTGCATTTCATGTTGAAGATACTTTGTTAAAGTAAACCAGTCTAAAATCTGGGCAATTCAAACTGATCATATAATAAAAACGCTTTCAGTGAAAACTACATGTCAAAGCAATAAGTGGATACAGACAGCCCTTTATCTCTTCCTATAACCTGGTTGCTTTGACGTGCTGTTTTCACTAAAGATAACCAGTTCTTGATCATATACTCAGCTTAAATTGCCAAGGTTTGCAACAGGTTTGCTTACAAGGTGTGCCCTTACTTCCCTTTTACATAGCATAACATGGTGACTGTAAAATCATTTACATTGACTGGAAAAGCATATGATTGGAGGTATGCGGCTCCATGGTTTCTTTAACCACAAGCCTACAGGGCACTTATACCCCCTTCCTGCCCAGGCCAATTTCCAGCTTTCAGCGCTGTTGCATTTTGAATGACAATTACGCGGTCATGCAACACTGTACCCATATGACATGTTTATCATTTTTTGTGACAGATAGAGCTTTATTTTGGAGGTATTTAATCACCTCTGGGTTTTTTATTTTTTCTTAAACAAACCAAAATCCACTGAAAATTTTGAAAAAAAAAAGTTTTTTCTTAGTTTTTGTTATTAAATTTTGTAAATAAGTGATTTTCTCCTTCACTGATGTGCGCTAATGAGGCTGTAGTGATGGGCACTGATAGGCTGCACTGATGGACACTGATAGATGGCACTGATGGGCATTGATGAGGAGGCACTGGTAGGTGGCACTGATGGGCATTGACAGGCATCACTGATGGGCACCGAAAGGCAGCACTCATATATGGCACTGATAGGTGGCATTGATAGGCGGCACTGACTGGCACTGATAGGCAGCACTGACTGGCACTGTTAGGTGGCACTGACTGGCACTGTTAGGCGGCACTGATAGGCAGCACTAACGGGCACTGATAGGCGGCACTGATGCACACTGATAGTCAGCACTGACGGCACTGATAGGCGGCACTGACTGGCACTGATAGGTGGCACTGATTGGCAGCACTGATAGGTGGCACTGACTGGCATTGATAGGTGGCACTGACTGGCACTGATGGGTGACACTGAAAGGCAGCTCAGATGGGCACTGATATGTGGCATTGATGTGGCATTGATGGGCACTGAAATGTGACACTGATGGGTACTGGCAGGTGGCATGGATGAGCACTGAGAGCTGACACTGATGGACACTGACAGGTGGTGCTGCTGGGGCTACACAGATCATCAGGGCACACTGATCATCAGTGCTCTGATGATCTGTGTACATGTCCCCTCTGAGGAATGCTGATTACCGGCTCTCCTCTCCTCACGAGCTGTCATGCTGACAGCTCGTGGGGAGAGAAATGCCAATAACCGGCATTTCCTTGTTTACATGTGATCAGCTGTGATTGGACACAGCTGATCACATGACCGAGCCAACATCTTCAGCTCTTTCCATGGAACGGTGATCCTCTGTGTCCGAGGGACACAGCACACTACCGATCGCCGCGCTGCGCGCTCCGGGAGCGTGGTTAAAATGGGAGGACGTCATATGATGTCCTCCCAGAACAAAAGAACAACCTTGTGTCCGTCATATTACTATATGGCGGGCGGGAGGCAGTTAAAGAAGAACTACAGTTAGTTAAAGTGGAACTACACAGCATATGAGCACCACCAACTAAGACACTATTTAATTAGCATCTCTGATCGCAGCCATCTTGAGTAAGGGCAGATAGTTCATATAGCATTTACTTCCTGGAATCCATCTGTCATTCATGCAGGCAGGAGGATGTGCTTAGCTGAGAAAACAGCTCCTCCCCTCCTGAAGACTCCTGGGATGTATGACATCATTTGCCTAGGTGAGAAACCAAAGAGATGTAAATAAAAATAGTTTAAAACAAGTAAATATAATAGATTTTCATATGTAATTTTAGCATAAGAATTAAAAATAGTCAGTGTAATTGTGAGAATAAAGTCTCTCTTTAAAAGAATAAATAAAAAAATTAATCAGCTAAAAATACTGTAGCTAATGACTGTTATTAACCACTTGCTCTCCAGAAGATTTACCCCCCTTCCTGACCAGGCCATTTTTTGCAATACAGTGCTGTGTTAACTTAGAATTGCGCACTCATGCAACTCTGTACATAAATAAAATTTTTGTCCTTTTTTACCATAAATAGAGCTTTCTTTTGGTAGTATTTTATCACCTCTGCATTTTTTATTTTTTGCACTAAAAACAAAAAAAAAGACCCACAATTTTGAAAAAAAAAACAGTATTTTTTACTTTTTAGTATAAAACATATCCAGTAAAAAAAATTAAAAAAATCACATTTCTTCATAAATTTAGGCCAAAATGTATTCTGCTTTATTTCTTTGCTGACACTGTACTAATGACACCGGGCAGAAAGGGGTTAACATCTGGGGCGGGCGATCAAAGGGTTAACTGTGTGCTGTTTTACATGATGTGCTGGGTGTGCTTTACTAGGGAAACATGCTGCTTTGTATTTCTCTGTTGTGCAGAGAAATACAAAGCAGCATGTCCTTCCTGGCAGGAGAGAGACCTGTGTTGTTTACACACAGGTCTCTCATGTCAGTTTTCCCCGATGATCACCAGGTGTGGTAGGGAATCTCCGGCTGGGACCCTGTGATTGACATCCGTAGCCACCAATGACAGAGCGGGTAGGGCGGCACATGTGCCCCCTACCCGGACATGCATATCACATATATATACGTGATTTTGCGTAGCCCTGATGCCCTGTAGCAGTACTTCTACTGCAGGATGAGATTGGATTTCCAATCCCATGGACCATGGTTAAGTTTTCCCCTGAGAGACTTGTGATTAAGTTCAGCTGAACCAAACTATTGGGGTCAGTGTGTGTTTCAGCTCAGAAAGAGCCATGCTGAGCTATAAAGCTAAACACTGATGTACTAAGACTGCCAGTGCTTTTTTTTTTTTCATTTTTATTCTTTTATTTATTGCAGGTATTTATACAGCACTGACAATTTTTGCAGTACTATACATATATTGTACAGACTACAGGTCCTCTTTTTGGACTGTTGCCATTCCCATTCACTATCTGGAACAAGGAACTTGCTTAGGACACTAAGTAAGGCCCAGTTACGCAAAATATTTTTTTTGTCGTTAATGCATTGACTTTGTGGCTGGATGACTATATATGCTGTATGTTTTTGCTAAACAGCTATGCTTTGTTTAAGAATTGGAGGTTTGTTGCCTGTACATTGAATCTGACCACCATAACTGGTGCTTTGGATGTGGACAACATCCTTAAAGAGCCAGCGAAGTTGATTTACTAAAACTGGAGAGTGCAAAATTTGGTGCAGCTGGGGCATGGTAGCCAGGGCCGCTGATAAGGGGGTACCAGCAGTCCTCCAGTACCGGGCCCGGACCCTATCAATTCACAAGCAGCTCTCTTACTCTGCTTTTCTGCTATATTTGCAGCCGATCCACAGCTTCCTGCCATTCTCTCACAGCACGGCTCAGTGCTCTGATGTTAACTCTTTCTTCCTCCATTCCCTTCTGTTTATCTCGGCAAGTTTTTTTCTCACCCCCCCTTCCAGATTCTTGCCCTACTCAGTCTCCCTGTCATTTACTGCCCCTCATCCCTGCAATCACACTCCAGTCTTTCTCTCTTCTCAATCCCATCGATTGTGCCCAGGTTATTCTCCCTGCAGTCTCAGTCCTTCACTCATGTACCTCCTATATTCTTCCCATCTGATCTATCATGTCTCAAAGTCCACCCCGTTCCTCCAACTGCCATGCCTGTATATTCTTTTCTGCCCCCCTCCCTGACACAGTCATCTTTAACAACCTCTTCCTTTCCTCTTTCCCCTCAATGAACATAGTGAGTGTACCAATCACTCGCCATATTCATTCATAACTGAATCGTAGTAAACTGTGTTTACTATTCTTCAGTTTATGAATGAACAGACAGCCTCTGTACAGAGCACTTCCAGTTCATTAATCTGCCCCACAGGGTTATTAAAACATGTTTAAAAGTAGTAGTTACAAAAAGTAAATAAAATTGTAAAAAAAAAAAAACAAAAAAACAAAACAAGGGCTCATTCACACAGGTACACTGGTCATGTGAATAAGTGATTTGTTCATGTGGCTGGAGCCACCTGTTACTCTATGGTATCACAGCAGTTGTTATGAACACAGCTGCAGATTTTAATCTGACAGGTTTGCAAGTTTGGGTGATTCACCCCAAATTCTCACTGTTCATTTTTGGGGCCGTATACCTGCACCCACACACAGGACTGGGACAAAAAATAGGCCCAGGCATTTTAGCCTGAGCAGCCAATTTTTTCCAGGGGGGCTGTTGCAAGGGCGTTAGTGGGGCAGTTAGTGATGGAATATTCACAGAGTCAGTCCTCTGCACTGTAATGTAAAGGAGCACTGTGATATATAGTATTCATTAAAGTGCCCCTTTACAGTGCAGTCCCCTTTATATCATAGTGCCCCTTACAGTGCACCTAGAGATCTAATCACAGTGTCCCTATATATTCAAAGAGATGGCCCAATCCAGCAAAGAGACATCCTGATTCAACAAAGAGACATCCCCATATAGCAAAGAGACAGCCCAATCCAACAAACAGACATCCCCATATAGCAAAGAGACATCCCAACCAGCAAAGAGACAGCCTGTACAGCAATGAGACAGCTCATCCTGCAAAGAGACAGCCCATCCAGCAAAGAGACAGCCCATCCAGCAAAGAGACAGCTCATCCAGAAAAGGGACAGCCTGTCCAGAAAAGAGACAGCTCATCAAGCAAAGAGACATCCTGTTCAGCAAAGGCACAGCTCATACAGCAAAGACACAGCTTGTCCAGCACAGAAACAGCTCGTCCAGCACAGAGAAGGCCCATCTAGCAAAGAGAAAGCCCATCCAGCAAAGAGACAGCTCAACCAGTAAAGAGACAGCCCATCCAGTAAAGAGACAGCCCGTTCAGCAAAGAGACATCCTGTCCAGCAAAGAGACAGCCCGTCCAGCAAAGAGACAGACCATCCAGCAAAGAGACAGCCCATTCAGCAAAGAGACAGTCCATTCAGCAAAGAGACAGCCCATCCAGCAAAGAGACAGCCCCATCCAGCAAAGAGACGCCTGTCCAGCAAAGAGACAGCTCGTCCAGCAAAGACACAGCTCGTACAGCACAAAGACAGCCTGTCCAGCACAGAGACAGCCCATCTAGCAAAGACACAGCCCATCCAGCAGAGGCAGCTCAACCAGTAAAGAGACAGCCCATCCAGCGAAGAGATAGCCCATCCAGCAAAGAGACAGCTCAACTAGTAAAGAGACAACCATTCGGCAAAAGACATCCTGCCCATCCAGCAAAGAGAGAGCCTGTCCAGCAAAGAGACATCCTGCCCAGCAAAAAGACAGCCCGTTCAGCAAAGAGACAGCCTCTTCAGCAAAGAGACAGCCCACCTAGCAAAGAGACAGCCTATCCAGCAAAGAGACAACCCATCCAGCAAAGAGACAGCCCATCCAGCAAAGAGACAGCCCATTCAGCAAAGAGACAGCCCATCCAGCAAAGAGGCAGCCCATCCAGCAAAGAGGCAGCCCATTCAGAGAAGAGACAGCCTACCCAGCAAAGAGACAGCCCCATCCAGCAAAGAGACAGCCCATCCAGCAAAGAGACAGCCTATCCAGAAAAGAGACAGCCAGTCCAGCAAAGAGACAGCTAATCCAGCAAAGAGACATCCTGCCCAGCAAAGTTATAACTTGTATAGCAAAGAAACTGCTCGTAGAGCACAGAGACAGCCCGTCCAGCACAAAGACAGCCCATCCAGCACAGAAACAGCCCGTCTAGCAAAGAGACAGCTCATCCAGCAGAGACAGCTCAACCAGTAAAGAGACAGCCCATCCAGCAAAGAGACAGTTCAATCAGTAAAGAGACAGCTCATCCAGTAAAGAGACAACTGATCAGCAAATAGACAGCCTGCCCACCCAGCAAAGAGACAGCCCATCCAACAAAGAGACAGCCTGTTCAGCAAAGAGACAGCCCATTCAGCAAAGAGACAGCCCATCCATCAAAGAGACAGCCCCATCCAGCAAAAATACCACCCATTCAGCAAAATGACGGACCGCCCAGCAAAGAGGCAGCCCGTCCAGCAAAGTGACAGCCCCATCCAGCAAAGAGACAACGCGTTCAGCAAAGAGACTGTGACAGGAGTCACTTTGGATGGGGGCTCATGTAACCCAGCTTACTTTGCCGAGGTTGGGAGAACCCTGTCTCAGCTCCCCATATCCCTCTTATGTGTAAGTC